CCTTACCTCCTTCAAGGCCGGTCTCAAGACCTTTCTCTTCAACCATGCCTTCAGCTCCCCTCTCGACTCTCTACCACCTCCTCGCTCCCTCCCTTCGCTCTCCTCACCCTGACCACTTCCCCCTTGCTCGGGTACCGACCCAACTGTCCAGCGCCTTGGGACGTCCTCCCGACGTGAAAGGCGCTCTATAAATGCAATCTTGTTGTTACAGAAAAGAAGATGCAACATGTTATTATCCTGTTACTGGACGCAACAGACCTGGCCACTATCGAGGGGTAGCAACTGATAAAATGTATTGAGAGGGTCAGCCTAGACCTTTAAGGTCAGCCAACAAAATACAGTTTCTTGATTTATTATTTCTTGATTTACGCCTTAAATCAAAAAATATTTAATCAAGACAAAACTCAAGACATACTTATGATCGAACACAGACTTACCTAGACTGGGGGTGGGAGCATTTCTTGACTGTTGAGCACCACTGGCCCAGACAATGATCCAAAAATTCCAATATGTGATTGGAGCCCACAATCTGCCTGACTCAGAAACGATTGTGCTAAACACACCTATAGTAGTCAGTGTCCGGAGGTGGGGTTGCAATTCAAAGAAAATTCATTCATTACGATTGTAAAACTGATTATTGCATTGATATAGTGCCTGTAACATTTCAAAATACTTCACAAATTTTCTGCAATGCCCTTGTTAAAAAAAATTTGATCACTCAATCCACGACTGCTGTTGGCTGATGCTTTTCTCCCACAAGATATGGTCAATCCAATTTACAATATATTCTGCAAAGTGTTTAAGATGTCATGGTAAAATGCTCTATCAAAATGCAAGGATTATTATTATAAAAATGGCCATAATCTGAATACCAATTTTATAGACCAGAACACTGAGAGAAGCTCCCTTCTCTTTTCCGTAGAGCCATTGAATACAACATCTAACCTGAAATGGTAGATGGGACCTCAGTTTCATGTTTGATTTTGTAGATAGCAGCAGTGAGCTTTACATATCAAGCAAATGGGTCAATTAGCTTCTTATTCTTTGGGAAGTCTTCAGTAGAAAATGAGTTACTCTAACTGAAAGCATAGTTGAAAAAGCTTTTTATTCCTTTACGTCAGGATTAGTTTGAATTCTTCTTTGCTATTTTAAGTGTTTCTTTTAAAATATATTTATACCTTTTCCTTGACTATTGCTTTCAACTTTGGTAACAGCACAAGGCACAATATTAAGAATTCTAATTGTATCTGACAGGCCAGTAGGTCACTTCAGTACTCAACACAACATGTGACCTGCCTATGTGCCAATGTACTCCAACATATCATGTGATTGCATAATAGTCACCTTAAAAAGTCACCTCATGGGATAGAATTAAAATATAAAGCAGCTTTTCATTTGGAGGTGTGTGTTCAGTCAGCGAGACGCTAATGCTGAAAATAACTCTTTGTATGAGGTCAGCATGTCCAGGTTGGATTGTAGCATAGACGATTACTCTGCTCAATAATATAACTTTTGGAGCTTGTCAGCTGGACAACAATGATATTGCTATTGTAATTATCCCTTTAATACCTCAAACAGACCTTAGGGAGCCACCCACATGCTAACTCCAGTGCCATTTTGCACAGACACCATCCTAGTTTTTGGGCTACACCAATTTCTGGATAGCTTGTGCTAATTGAGAACCAAGATTGTCCAAACATCAGTGACACACCTTCATCCTAAATTTACTTGACAGTATATTCTGTGAAGCGCTTTGAGGCGTCTTAAAGTCATGAAAAGGTGCTATACCAAATGCAAGGATTAGTATTATTATTATCTGGCTAGAATTCTTTTCCAGCTTAAAAGTATAACAACATCCCATTCCTCCAGCAATGACCTTTTTAAAATTGAAGCCTGTCCTCTACACTGCACAAATAATATTTGCATTTGGTATAGTGCCTTTCGCATCAGGCCGACATCCCAAAGCTCTTTAGGGGATTTACTGTGAAGTGGAACAACTGTGTATTTCTGGGGAAAATCTAAAATACATGCTGAAAACTTCAGGAATTTAATCGCAACTGCAGGTTTTTAAACTCTATATTGGGGCCTAAAACTAGGCCTCAATTTATGCAGGTTTGTAAATATTCAAATCCGACAATAACTGGATGTACCTGAACGATCCATGGGAACTCTGCTCCAATGAGTCTGGAAATGGAACACATCAAAACAGAATTTCTGTTTACTCTCTGGATACAATATTTACAAATCATGTACAAATCTAGTTTCCCCCTTACTGGTCAAGCTCTGATGGGAATGCATTCACTGTACATTAGCATATGAAACTAAAGCAAGGTTTTATATATAGGGACATATATATTGAGTATCGCTCTGGGATGCTACCCTGCGTAAGGCGGACTATATTAATGCAAGTTGGTGTTGTTGAATATAAGAACAAGGAGATGATGTTAAATTCCTACGTTTGTTGAATTGCAGTTGAAGCATTCAGTTTTACATTAACTCCAGAAAGAAGTTACAGCAGAGATTCACGAGAGTAATATTAAAGATGAGGTTGGAGTTATATAGAGAGATTTGAAAAATTACTGTCATTTTTTGCTAGCACAAGGGATGTGATGGCATATGAAAGTTTTGAATTTTTTTAACAGCTTAAATAAAAAAATTCTATTGATTGGTAACTCAGTAACTATAAACAGCTGTTGAAAATCAATAGCAGCACTTCAAAGGCGAATGGTATTTACTTGAGGATAAATATTAAAGACAATGAGGAAATGGCATTGAGGTAGATAGATCCAATGATTGGTTAAATTGATTACTGGCAAAGGGCAGAATAACCTCCTTCTGTGCCAAACATTCTGTGAAACAATCACAGACCTGTCACTCAGATGGCCCAGACATCCCATTAAATTCTTCAATTGAACAAAGACTTTCAAATTCCCAAAGTGCAAGATTAGGAGTGTTTGGAACATGCTGAACAGTGTTCTGCTCTCAAATGCTTATCAGACAGGTATATTTAGATGTGGTTACATGCAGTTGCTGTTACTAAAATTTTGTCCTATTTGCAGTACAGTGTTTGGCTCAGAGCCTGGCATAATTGATTTTATCTTAATTCCACCTCTTTGCAAACACTTATTCCAATTTTGCAGCTATTAGTTGGTCAGGTTAAAGATTTTTATTTTCAATGTCATTCAGTCTCTTTCTTGTGAAATATAGAAATTCATTAATTTCTGTGCTGTAATATTTTACAATATTTGTTCAATGATTCAAGGCAAACTGAGGTAATTTTTACTCAGTCTGCAAAATGTGTTGCAGGACAGAAGAGCAATTGGTAGCCTATTTATTTTGGCTCTATTGTTTTTGTTTATTCCCAGCCCCACCCATCAGCTAATATACTCTGAAATTGGTTTATTTTCATCTTCTATATTGTTGTAGTTCAATTCTTACAACTTAATTTTGCTTTGAAATATATTCAATATCTTTTCTCTTATCCAAATATTAAAGTGAGGTAGATTCTCTTGGATTTGCTACTAATTCTAAATGCTATGATAGATAATTATACACTTAACGCAACATTGTGGATCTGAACCTGGGGAGAAATCTGTGAGCAGCACTTTCATTGTAACAGATATTTATAATAAAACAGCAGGGGTATTCCATACAAAGTTGTTTGTTCCAAGTACATATCTAACTCATGCTCTTGAAAACCATAAGAAGTCGATAATTAATGCAGTTTCTGTGTTTACACAATTTAGGACTATGAACATTAGCACACTAGCTCTTTAAGACTAAATCATTGCTATTCTACAATGTGTACCTTGACTATTTGGTAACAGACCAGATTATGACTGCAAGTAACCCTAAACAAAACTAGATCTTTTATAAATTACACATTGCTAGCCATTTCACACTCTACAGATTAAACCTCATTCATTGCAGAGAACTTTGATGTATTCCAGTTAGGAAGTTATCTATAGGGCCTCAGTTTGGGGATGGTTTGGAGGGGAAGAAGGTAGGGAAAGGGAGAATCAAGATCCACAGCATTTCGCACTGGGACCTATATCTGAATCCGCCAGTCATTTCAGTTTCCACTTGCAGTATATGCATGTATAATTTTATAATAGTCCATAAAAGGCACGTGCCTCATCAAAACTGCTTCTGATCTAGAAATACTCTTTCTGCATTGCCAAGTTTAGTTTGTGGGCACTGCAGTGTGCAAATGAGTTAATGGTCATAATTGCATGATTTTTAAATGCAGTCCATTTCTAAATTTAAGAAATGTTAAATGCGACTTGAAATAACATTCACACACATTCAAAATAATTTGTGGGTGTTGTTTGTGAGACAGCTGTTGTAGGACACTGTGTAGGCTAATTGGCTGCTGGTTTGCCAACGAATGCAGTCTTTGAGACATCTTGATGACATGATCAGGTGTGATATCAAATCAAATATTGTTGATTAATAGTAGCCCCAATCCCAGCTAAAAAGATATGGGTGCTGCTTAGCAAGCTCACGTTTTTGAAAATACGTTTGGCCTTTAGGTGATGCTTTGCAGAACAACATTTAGTTGTCACCTATGAACTGTCACTGATAGGTTGCCATACGAGACCCAAAGATTTAAAGACAGCTTGTTGAAACTTTCCAAGAAACTGTTTGCACCATAATTGTAGTCCGCAGGGTTGCCATCTTTGTAAACTGTGCATGTCTGTATCACTGTTTATCTTCATGGTCTTTGCTGCATGGATCCACATAATACTACAGTATTGAGTTAGGGGTATTCCATGTAATTGCAGTTGTTACTATTTTGCTAATTTAAAGTAACATATGATTTGCAATAGTCACGCAGGCAGTTCAAGCACACGTGGAAAAAAATGTACGGATAACCAAACATGGACAAGCCAATTCCAGCCTGATTAAGGATGTATGCTGCTGAAATTTAAATGTGGACTTATGCTGGTGAAATGGGTTAATAGAATTTGCAGTCTACCACAAGAAACCATGAAATTCAAAACAGTACAATGATCAGTTTATTAGTTACATTTAATTTACAGAATTCTGTAATTTCAAAATCAAAATAAATGGTTAAATTTTTCACTTAACCATGTGGGCTAGATTTTTTGTGAAGACGAATAGTCATAATAAAGAAACTTTACAAAAAAAATCTATTGTCCCACCAAACCATACAAAATAAACTGGCAGATTCTATGCCAATGTTTTCCATAATGATACCCACTTGCATTATGACTAGTGAATGGTCAATCGCAATTTAAGGAAATAATTTTAAAAAGTCCCAGGTTTACAAACAGTAGCACTGGTCGAAATATTGATTTCTCAGGTGAGATGTATACTAAAAATTTAAAGATTACAGAGTGGCTAAATTAGACAGCCATATTACCTTGACCAAGCCCAAACTAAAAAATACTGCAGTGTAAAATGTAGTTTATTACACATTTCTGCCTTATTCCTAACTTATTAGTGTTACACGCCCACTAAAGGTATTTTAGGATAAGCAATGCAATATATTTATTTGCGTAACAAAATACATATAGGTTACAATCAAAGTACTGAGCCCTTTTCAAAGATTGAAGAAATTACACCATTACCACAATAGCAATATATCAACAAAAATGTATCTACATCTGATACTTGGAAGGTGAATAACTGAAAGATTTCTACACCAACATATACAATTCAAAGTAACTGCTGTTATTTCAGCTTCTATGAACACAACTGTAGACAACAAATCTTTTCATTTCTTGTTGAAAAGTTCAGACGACTTCACCTGCAGCTTTCAACTCAGTGCAGTGTAGTGCAAGTCTCAGTTTCAGAATACAAGGAAAAATTGCAGTGAAGAACAGACAAGAGGTTTAGACATCACATTTATAATTTGTTGCAGGATTCTTGCTGACGAGGCAAATCGCTGCTAGCAAATAGAGGTAAAGTGCCAATTTATTTTTAAAAAGTACAGTATATAAAAAGGTACAGCTTGACAAATAAGAACTGCAAAGCAAAGAAAATCATTCCTTTTTAGGACTGTACACCAGGTTGATGTAAACCACGACAGTTTAGTAATCAGACCATTTTAGAAATGTTATATTAATGTGAAACCTTTGTACATTGATTTTTTTTCCTGAGAAAGACAGATTAAGAAAACAATATTTTCCTACCTTGTTTTGGATCAGCTCAATTTTACTCCTGCAAAGGAACTGCATTATTTAGCAGTTATTTCTCTACTGTTGAAAATAAAGATACAACAGTCTAGAACATTTTTTTCAAAAATAGGCCACCAACAAAATGTGACATGCAGAAGATTCCACTAAAGTCAACTTGTACATTTCATCTCCCATCCCTCCCCAGAAATATGAATTTAAGACCAGATAACTGGAAGTTAGATTTTATTCAGAAAGCTTCAGAAATAGGCAACCACCATTGAATTCACCAGATTAACAACTACAAATTATTTATAAATAAGTTATTCAATCTCAGAATTCAAGACACCTAGGTACAGTATTTATGTCAGCTGTCCCCAGTGACCTTAATTAGTTTGACATAGTGAGACTAAAGGTGAGGCTTAGCATAAAAACATCCCGTGCATGTTGTAAGGATGAAGAAAATCATACATAATGATCAGCATATTGTGCTTAATAAAAGCCCTTAATATTAATGCTCCTATGTGATCTTTTTCCCATTATGATGTTTGTGTGCTCGTGAGTGTCTAGTGACCTTCACTTTGTCGTGAGGTTTAGCTTATCACTGGTGCAATCTAAGCACAGGCTCATTAGCATGATTTGGAAGGTAACATATGTTCAAGAATAGTAATTTACTGTAGCTTGTAGAATTGTCCAGGGGCAAAATCAACTATTACCAATAATTGTTTAGTGAACACATTGTGTGATTAATTATTCATAGATGTTGTAGTTTCTGAAACTGCGTCAATGCATTTTCCACAATGAATTACAATTACTAAGTCTGATCGAGTGTAACTTCACTAAATCATCACCGATAGCATTGTGGGAGGAAGGGGAAAAAAACTGATAATTCACCAAACCTTTTAGAACAATACTAGTATCTTAATGATTAACCATTTTAAGCAAAAGGCACTGCGCTGTTGTGTATCTTGCCAAATAGGCAAAAAACACAACAACGTAATGACAGAATGCAAAAGATTAAAACCATTCAATGTAAAACAAAAGGTACAGGGGAGCAAATAATCTTTCATTTTGGTCTGAATTGTTTGGGATCGCTCTCTACCATGTTCTTAAGTATGTCAAATGCAACATCTGGTTTTTATTCTTTTATCCCTTTACATCTTTAACAGTTTGAAATACAAGATAGTATAGCAACTTGTGATGCTGTCCATCAACCTGAGCCACACCACAAACACAAACAGTGGGTTATCATGGGGCTAAGAATGTGAACCACCAGCTCAGCTGGATCTCATTTGTGGCCGATGATGGGTTAGATAAGATGTGATGATTCACCTTTGATATGATTACTGCAATGCAAACTGAAATTTGCACTGTGCATTCAAGGTCACTGATCATCTAACTCCAGTAGCTAAAATCAGCTAGTTTCGAACCAAGCTGCTTACTAGCATTGGATCAGAAATTTAAGGATTGCTACCTTTATTAAATGCTGCTCCCAAAGTTTCACATTAGTCCTTAGGCCAATAATCTTAAAGGACCACATTTTATGTAATGTAAATATAAACTAAATAAACATTTCTTAAATGCAATCATCTAACATGGTATAATCACATTTATGGCTGTATTGTTGCCGGGGTTTGCACTATTCTGAATACTAGCTTTCTTACCTTTAAAATTAGAGGCATTTTAAATGCAAGACTATACAGTATTATTAATACTTGGTCACAAAGCAAAAGTGAAACAAGAAGAGCTTTGTGCACAACTACCTGCTTTAGAACAATTTAGGCAATATCTGGTTTGAAAGAAAACTCCCTGTAAAATGCCACCAGTGTACAAAGGATTTATTTTCCTTGCATCAGTGCTGCCATGTCAAGGCACTACATGGCATACGAGCCTATGTAAGGAAATTCTCATTTCCAGTTACAGCTAAAACAATTAAATGAGCATTTGCATTAATATGCACCAATGTATTCAATACAGTAAACTCCTGATAATTCAACCCTGGCTTAACTTGTCACTACCCCTTAAGTCAACATGTTGTTAATATCCCATCTACTTCCCATACAAAATAAGGGACTCCGACTTATTTGTCACTCTGCTTAACGTGTAACTCATCGAATTATAGAAATTATTGTTCCTACAATGTAAAATTGATCAGATAATTTGCTGTATAAGAAGCCTTCTTGCGTCGCACATCTCTCCCGTCCTATTCTCGATGTAGGTTGGAGATGCATGCTCAGGTGCATCACAGAAGCCTCTGGTCTATTCGAGAACCACACAACGGCTTCCCACTCCAACTCCCATCCTGTCCTGTAACAGGATAGGGCAGGAAGCTACTGCATGGCCCTCCAATAGACCAGAGGCATCTGCAATGCATCTGAGTAATGCGCCCAACCTCCGCCGAATGCCCACACCTGTGACAGCTCCCACTCTGGCCCGGAAGGACCTATGCCTAACTCGCCATTTCAGACAACTTGTCGCAAAGCCCTTTTCCCTTGGGGTGATGAGTTATCCGAAGTTTACTGTATTTGTGTTGTCGAGTTACTGCTTAGCCAAGAATAAATTGATTAAGACCTGAATTTTAAGTTTAAATTTGTGCTCACCTTGTAGTTCATCATTGCCTTTATACAGTGTTTTAAGAATCCACAAGTCACTCAAAACCAGCATACCATTACTTAATATGGATATGCATTTTAATAACAGCATGTTTTTTTAAAAAAAACACATTTGTGCTACAAGTTTTAAAAATAGGTATTTATAACCTGAGTTTCAAATGCTATTGGTATAATGAACCCATTTAAAATCCATTTGCATTTGCCACAGAAAATAGCACTCTGTCTTAAATGGCCTAGATTTTTTCCTATAAATGAAAAAATGCAGGTGCAGAACTGGCCAAGGTCACTTTTATCCCAGATTATACTGCGGACTCGTAATGGATACGCACTGGATGTCTTATGCTAGGAAAGACTACTCACTTTATTAGTGCAGATGTACTCTGCATCATCACTACCTCTCATTCCTTTATCCTGATTTCCCATTTGGTTGAATGGTTGATGTAGTTATGTCAGGTCACAAAGCAGACACTAGTTTACTATTGACTCTCAAATGACCATTGAGGTAAAACAGTTTGCAGTTCAGTTTGATGGTTATAAATGAAAACTGATCGAAGCTGACCAAGTACTTAATCGGTGATCTTGAATAATTTAGAATGTGGGAAAATCAATGAGTACCGCGTATTTTAAGATGCATCACAAAATAATACATTGACTTTTTAAATACCTTCTGAAAATAAGATGTGAAGATATCAATTTGAGCAAAGTAATAGTAAGTTAGAGAATTCATAAATGTGGATTGATCAAAAGTATTACACCATTGATTTGCACTCATGAATCCAGATTCATAAATGGGATTCAATATTAGGTTGTTTTCTGTTTAAAAACAGTGGAGAAAGTCACCTTTAAATGATAGCTTAGGCTAAACGTTTTAACCTTAACAGAATTTAAGATAAAATTTCACTTAAGTTCAAATTGCTTACTGTAGTGGAAAATGTTAATCTTTAGTAGGTCACATTAGGTTTATAGAATAGCTTCAGATTCCAAAACAATATTAATCGTAATGTCTAATATTATTAATAATTCAAGTTTCTTCCCAATTTAGATCCCAGTGAACCATAAACCATTTATCCACAATCAAGGTTAACCCAACAACCACTTCCTAGGAATCTGCCAATTGTGCACCAGATTCAGTCAATAGTAGATGAATGTCAATGAGTTATAGATTGTGCCTCTATTTTAATTCTGCTATATGGGAAACATGATTGGCTGCTGTTCACTGACAGCTGGGGTTGAGAATTCAAGGAAATGTCCCACTGCTCAGCAAACCATATAAAGGTTCCTAAAATTATGATACTGTTTTGAAGATTTATACAGTGGTGGGTACAGGAACTGGATAGCAGACTGGGGAGACAGTCAGGGAGACTGGGAAAACAATCTATTGCAAAGGGGGACCCTTAAACCTAACGTATGTCACCGGGGCGGGGGGGCGATGTTGGAGATTTTTGATACTGCAGAATAATACTAGTTAGAGCTCCAAAATTATTTAAACTAGCCAATTGGCTAACTTTCACAGTGTTGGATATCTAAAAGTTTGGCTATCAATATCCAATTAGACATTCTTCTCCCCCTTTAAATCCACAAATTGCTTATAATTCACTGAGAGTTTTCATACTAGAAAAGATTTGAGTTTTTGTTAAATAGCAATTTTAGAAAATGTCTTTATGATTTGAGTTTTGGGAAACTACACAAACAATGATACAAACTAAAGGCAATAAGATTTATTTGTCTATGTTTTGCTTGTAAGAAAATCAAGTAACTGGAAATGATCATAGTTACAGCCAGCCCAAGAATAATAATATATGCAGTCTATGTCTCTGCAGAAAAAAAGCAGATACTGCTAGTATATCCAATATTTAGGCACACATTTTGTATTAAGGTTTGCAAGGTAAAGTTTATGGCTAATAGTCACAAGAACAGGTTCTGTGAAGGTACAGCTCCTCAAAAGCAGTCCAGTTGAAGTCCTTTTCCAAACTGTTTCCTTTGATTTTTTTTTTAATCACTGCTACTATCATCTTCATCCTCATCAGATAAATTTCCAGGGGACTGGAGCGCTCCATGGTAAAACTCAGAGCGGTTTGACAGAGTTGCATTCAGCTGGCCACTGGAGAGCAGATCGTAGCAGAAGGAGCACACACGAACAGGCTTGGAGGACTGACTGGGAAGAAGGAACCGCTTTTCTGAACAAGGACCACACACAACAAACCCACATTTGCGGCAGTGATGTCGACGGCTGACTGGTGTGAATTTGACTTTCTGACACCGCATGCATATAGTGGCCTCTGAGTCAGGCACCCATACTGCAGCATGCTCATTGCTGGGTATTTTTCCACTTTTTGACAGCAAATCAGCAACACATTTAGTAATGTGATTCATCCACTCAGATTTCTCAGTGGCAGTAGCAGCATAAACTGCAAAGGATTTAGTCGGGGTCTTAATAAGCCACCCATTACGCAGCTCACCATCATCTTCAATTGTATCGATTGTAACGTTCTCCAGTGGAATTATGTGCTGCTTGTTGTACTTTTTCTTTTGGATAACAATATTACCATAAACGAGGATGTCATTGAACAAGAAAAACTGCCTAGCTTTTGCCTTCTTTCGACAAAGCTTTGTAAGAACTCCTTCACCTATGAGTACCCGACCAGTAACAGTTAGGGGCTGGCCTGCTGCTCCAAAACAGCTCTCAACCATGCCTATGCGTCGAGCATTTGCCTCACTGTTTGCTAAGCGGTCCACCATCTTGTTTGCTGTAAGAGAAAGCAGAAAGATTATAAGACATTGCACTAGAGAGCCAATTATCCGCACTAACCGGAACTGGCCCCATTGTAACTAACCTATCTGGCTTTCTCTGCCGTTCAAAAAAATTCCAATTCAAGGCACAAGGTAATTCTGCCCACAATTTATATTTAATGTGTAGCTGAATTGTATTTCTACCAACTTCATGTGCATGCGTGCAAATTTTTTTAAAAAAATTGCTTCCTACAATTGCTTCCACATCAAATCTTCACGAGGGAGCACCATATGGATATTTGGTGTGTGGATACACATCTCTTTACTGTATAATATGTAAAATGATATATATTTACAGGTGTACATATAAAAACATTACCTGTATGACCAGAAAGCAGCTGGACATACAACGGCCTTGCGAGAAAAGTCTGAATTTTCCGCATTAACCGTGAGGGAGGTTGGCGCATGCTTAATGAGGAAAATGTATGGGACAGTGGGTTTTGCCACAAAGAAGCAGAAAAATATCCTCCGTTTATATTTTGTACGCCATGACACATCTGCAGCTCTAGTTATCATTTAACCACTGCAGTTAAAAGCAACACATTCCTAAACTTCTACTCTTCCAAAATTCCTGTTCCTTCAATTTCACACCCGATTCAGGTAAATTTGTTTGCCCACAATTAGTTATTATATTTCAATGAAATCATGTAAAATTATTTGAGATGCTGTAACATAAAAAAGGCACTATTATCAAGTAATAATCCAAGGATTATTATTATTAAATATTTAATGACTCAGTTACCATATTCTGGAAAATATACTTTTAAATTTTAAATTTCAAATGACCTGTTAAAACTATGTCCTTACCACACCACTGCCGAAACTCTGGCTTGTGTGTTTAACATTTCAAGGACTTTCCCAATCTTCTGCTCACAGCCTCCTGAGCATCAAGTTCAAAATCATTCAAAACTCTGGAGCCTGTATTCTCTCCACACCAGACTCTGCACATCTATTATTCTCATTCTTGCTGGCCTCCACTGGCTGAATTTAAGGTCCTTTTTTTGACCTTATTCATGGTTATACCTTCCGTATCTATGCAATTTTGCTGAACCATATCCTTCTGCTCTACCCACCACTACTACAATTCTGATCTACTGCTTCCTCACTTCTGTCCTTTAATTACTCACCAAGCCTCAAACTCTCTGCCAAATTAATAATAATAATCCTTGCATTTGATATAGCGCTTTTCACATCTTTTAGACGTCTCAAAGCGCTTCACAGAATATACTGTAAAGTGAATTGACTATATTTGTGGGCGAAATGCAGCAGCCAATTGCACACAGCAGTGTCCCACAAACAGTCGGGATTGAAATGGCCAATTTATTATTGTTTTTTTGAGGGATTATTATCAGGTGTGTGGAGCAAAGAAACTTGCCCAAGGTTTCACCCTGCCGGGAATCAAACCCAGGTCTCTCGCTTGCAAAGCGAGTGCTCTAACCACTGAGCTACAGAACTCCACAAAATCTCTGTGCCTCAATTCCTCTCTCCTTGCCATTTTCAACCATGTTTTAGGCCCAAATTCTTAATTGTTACATACATTGGGTGTTGTGTGCAAATTGGCTGCCACGTTTTTCCCACAAAATACGCTATCACTCCACTTTACAGTATATCCTGTGAAGCACTTTGAGATGCCTCAACGACGTGATAAGGCGCTAAATCGAATGTAAGGATTATTATTATTAATTAAATATAAATGGTTTAACTAATTGCTGGAAGCCACACAGAGCCTGGACTTCATAAACAAGCAATTATTTTTACTGACTTTCAAAAAGCAATTTTTCCACTCCTAAAGCTGCACAAATTCTGTGTTTATAAACAGTAATCCTGCCCATTCCAATAATGCCTGAGGAAACCAAGATCAACTCCACCTGTAATAACCATAGAAGTTATGTCTAAATGACCTGTCTATGTTTATCTCTGTCTCAATTCTTTCTGGCCCTAGTTTTCAAGACTACCTGCAGCAACCACACACTATTCACCTGCTCCTAGAGATCTGTCAATGTTACTCAAACCTGTTGCTAGGTGAGACAAAATGACTCTGGTTTGCCTTTCCCTCCTATTTTCCTCCTCTCTGTATAGAGAGAGCCACACCTCTGCTTGATCCCTGTTCACAACAAAGATCAAACAATTACCATCCTGGAAACCGCAGGGCAAACCCACATCTTACCATTCTCTGACACACAGCTTATTCATGCGTTAATCTTCTGTACCACCCTAAGGAGTACATATATCATAATATGAGTTTATAGACTTCAAACTTTGTTTTGTGAGCTAAGGAAACAGAACAAAGTATAACATCAATGTAAAGCAAGTTGGAAGGACGTTTCAGAGAGTAGGGGCAGATAGCCTGACTACCGTTTGTGGAGGACATAAGACAGCTGGTGCCCACTGGGTAGGTCTCAGCTCTTAGTAGGGTCCAGGATAGGGTGTGATAGGTCCGCAGAGCTTGATGTGGGAAAGGATATGTGTAGGGTTCTGGGTAGTCTGCCGCTTGTATTGGGAAGAGCTTGACGACACCTAACAAAGTGTTGGTGTCGTCAAGCATGGACGTGATAAACACATGGATGAGGGTCTCGGCAACCCGGGCAAAGAGATAATGGCCAAAGTAGGCAATATTTCAGAAGTGAGGAGAAAACTGAGTGGGTCAAAGCACGGATGTCAGGTTTAAAATGTGAGCCATTGTGGACTTGATGGGCCAAAGATTACTATGCTTCTAAGACACTGATGTTCTGTACCAGCTCCATGAGATGGTCACCATAACCCGTATGAAACCCACCACCTGCTCCCTCGACCCCATCCCTACCCCCCTCTTTACTTCCCAACTCCATCTCCTTGCCTCTCTACTCACTGACATTGTTAACCTCTCCTTGTCCTCTCCCTGTACCCACCCCTTTAAAGGCTGCTGTTGTCACTCCCATCCTTAAAAGGCCTCCCTGGATTCTTCTCTACTGCCTATCTACTGCCTCATCTCCAACCTCCCCATCCTCTCCAAGGTCCTGGAGCAAGTTGTTGCTTCTCAGCTTCGCTCCTTCCTCTCCCGCAACTCCCTTCTCGAACCCCTCCAATTGGGCTTCCGTGCCGCCCACAACACAGAAACCGCCCTGGTCAAAGTGACAAATGACATTCTGTCCATCTGCGACCAGGGCTCCCTCTGCCTCCTCGTCTTCCTTGACCTCTCTGCTGCCTTCGACACTGTCGACCACTCTATCCTCATCCACCGCCTCTCCTCTCACCTCAACCTCCACGGCGCTGTCCTTGACTGGTTCAGATAATACCTCTCACACAGCCTGCACTTCATCTCCTCAAACAGCTTCTCCTCTAGCTCTCAAACTGTCTTGGGTGGCATTCCTCAGGGCTCTGTCCTTGGTCACCTCCTCTTCAATATCTATATGCTCCCTCTTGGTGACATCATCCGCAGACATGGGGTCAACTTTCACATGTCTGTCAGACATCAAGTCCTGGATGAGAGCTAACTTTCTTCAGTTGAACATCAACAAGACCGAGGCTCTCCTGATTGTCTCCCGTCAGCGCCTCCTCACCTCAGGCGCTGACAGCATCACCATCCATGGTTGCACACGCCACCTTGCTAATCCAGTCCGGAACCTTGGGGTCTTGTTTGACTCTCAACTATCCTTTCTACCCCACATCTGCGCCATGACCCACTCTGCCTTCCCCCAACTCTGCAACGTTGCCCAGCTCTGACACTATCGCACACCGCAGGCCACCGAAACCCTCATACATGCCTTCATTACATCGAGGCTCAACTATGCAAACTCACTGCTTGTCGGCCTCCCCAACTCTTCCCTCCACAGCTCATCCAGAACTCTGCAGCCCGTGTCCTCTCCCGCACTAGGCTACGCGACCCTATCACCTCCATCCTTGCCCAACTCCACTGGCTTCCCATCACACAAAGGATACAGTTCAAGATCCTGGTCCTCACCTTCAAAGCCCTCCAGTCATGCTCCCCCCTACCTCTCTGACCTCCTAACCCCCTACCACCCTGTTCGCTCCCTCCGCTCAGCGGGCTCCGGCCTGCTTCACGTCCCCCGCCTTGCTCACCCCACTATCGGCAGGTGGGCCTCCCGCTCACTCTGCACCCACCCTCTGGAACTCCATTCCGCAGTACCTCCGTCTCGCCCCCTCCCTCGCCACCTTCAAGACCCACCTCAAGACCCTCCTCTTCAACCGTGCTTTCGATCTCCCCGCTTTCCCCCTGCCCTCCACCCAACCCTCAGCTCGGGTCCATAACTCTGTCTGTCCAACGCCTTGGGACGTCTTCATGATGTAAAAGGCACTATACAAATGTAATTTTGTTGTTCTTGTCACGGTTCTTTAAATATGTTGAGTAGCGCTTTAAATACTTTTTTTATGTATTTAACGTTTTCGATACTTATGGTGCAAACAAACCTGACTCTAGCATCAGTTGTAACAATTTGGCAGGTAACTGCCTATTTATAACTTGCATTAGTTGATAGGCAGGTATATTGTTTCCCTATTGGGTCACTTAAAGGATGATTTTGATTGGACCATAAGAAAGTCCCATTGGGTGCCCTAATTTGGGAAGGGGCTCAATGCCCATAAAAGAATAAACGCCATGTGCTTGTGGTTGTTATTTTTCTGCCTGATGACAACAAAGGTACCATTGATAATAATCCTTGCATTTGATACTCCGTGCTTACTCCGTGCTTACTCAAGCTTTCTGAGGGAATACACAAACAGGTTCAGCCTCGGTCACAGAGGTGTAAAAATAAACCTCCGATTGACTAACGCTCCCAATTTGCTTTAATTAAAATAGCAATTGGTTGTACCTGTCGTTGTGGAAGAACTTGTTAGTCAAGTTACACCTAGTTGTAAGGACTTGCATTCATTAGTAAGGATTGAACACAGAGGCTACCCAATACACTCTGCGAGGGAGAGCGAGCCATATCGTGTGTGTATATAGATATTAGGGTGATAGAACTGTCTCAAGGTGGAGTGTACATCCATGAACTTTGATACTGTCAGTCCCTGAGCGAAGAAAGTGCTG